TTCTAAAAATAATATAGAGAAAATATAAGCGACTAAAGTCAATGACAGGTTAAGAAAAATCTAAAAGAAGAAAGCCGATGGACGCTTGAAATGGAGAGAAGGTTTCTCCTCTCCCCTACAAGCTTCTGTCCGCTTCCTCCTCTCCAGCTCGTAGATTTTTTCTTAACCTGTTACTGACTGTAGGGCAAGAAGGATTAAATATGGGTAGAACCAACGTTTCTAGAAACATGCTTAAAATTCCTGTGCATCTACTTCCCGCAGAACACTCGAGAAGCCAATCACACCAATCCACGAAGAGAGCTCGGCGAATAAAAAGGCCAAAGCATGTTTAGACATATGAATGAAGCGAGAGATGTCACTGAGCATGGCGGTTCACGTATGACTTCATGCTCAGTGTCACGTTACAGACTTCATTTTTAAGTCAATCATATTTTCAGCTTCTCCATTGGCCGAGTTTTCTTCGTAGATTGCATTGATCGGCCCCTCGAGTGGACGCACGGGCATTTTTAAAAGCAGAGAAAATTCGGTGGCACGTTGGGCATTGTTTTACCTGTGTACTGCACATATATTGTAATTCATTGACTTCCGATCTTCTTCCTTTACTACTTCTTGGATGGAAAGGGAACGCTTGATGCTGCGTACCATTTTTCGCTTTTACACATTGTTGTAGCGAAGGGGGCTTCGAAGGGGACGCTTCGTCATCCGCTGGTCGCGCTCTCTAGATCGCACTGATTGACCCACTAAATGTTTTGAAGGAAATCATATCTGCGGGTATGTTTTAGAGCCTAAGGCTAAACGAGAAATAAAATGCTTAGTGAAACCTATACAATTATAATTGATCTGAAAGCGCGGCGAATGAGCAACTCGCAGCATAATAATACAGAGGAAAATACATGTGTTCATATTCTTGCTTTCTTGTTGTAGGAAGTCCGGACACTGATGCCACTCATCCATCTCCAGGAAAATGAATTTGACAACTTTTTGGACGGTGTCCTGACAGTGAGCGACATCAGAACGACAGTAGAAGCTGTGTGCACATTGCTGGCAGTGATATCCGTCTCGTCTTGAAACTGTTTCGAATTTTGTTAGCTTTTTTACTGCGAACAGAAGAATCAATTTTTGCTACTCCAATAAAGTATATGATTGGACATGATGTTTACTGTTCTGTCTGTCACCTAGTTAATGACGTACAGGAATGAAGTGTGTTGACTCTGGCCAGACTGATGTTTGTCAATCTGTCGAAAAGGCCCAGTGCTAGCGATTAATGAACAATCTAAAGACACTTTGGTTGGTAGAAAAAAATGCACCTTGTAAAGCAAGAAATACGAAATACGATTTACTAAAAACTAACTAGGAATGTAAAAAAAACTCATTTGTCATAAGAGAGGGTTAGAAGTACAAAATATGGTTTACTAAAATAACGCCAACATAATCTAAAGAACTCGGGATTTATTAAAAGAACCAAGGAGGGTTCCAAATAAAACATGAAATAGGGTTCATAAAGAAAAACCAAAGAAGGAACCGTAAAGAACCTCGAAATAAGGTTCATTAAGAGCACGAAAAAGGGTTCTGGAGAGAACCCAAATGGGGTTCAATAAGAAGAACCAATAAAGGATACGAAAAGACCCCTGAAATAGGGTTTATTTAGAGCACCAGAAACGGTTCTGGAAAGAACCTGAAATAGGGTTCATTAAGAGCACCAGAAACGGTTCTAGAAAGAACCCGAAATGGGGTTCATCAAGAGCACCAAAAAGGGTTCGGGAAAGAACCCGAAATAGGGTTGATTAGGAAGAACCAAAAAAGGATCCTAGAAGAACCCCTAAATAGGGTTCGTTAAATAGAACACAGAAGCGTTCTGAAAAGAACCAAAAATAGGGTTCATTAAGAAGAACCAATAAACGATCCGAAAGAACCCCGAAATAGGGTTCATTAGAAAGAACCCTTTTTGTGGGTTCTTTTCTGCACCTTAAAGGGTGCCGCCCATTGGACAAGCGAAAGAACCCTAAAAGGTGCTAGTTGGCACGCTTTTTTCTTAGAGTGTATTAGCACTAAACTGCGTGACTGATTAAAAGTCACTGTCACATCTCATAGAACACTTAATACAATTCAAGGGGTGATCTCGGAAGACGACCTGCTCGAGTGTACAGAAACCGAAGTAGTTGAGGGCCTTTCTACACAGGGAGTAATCGCTGCTCGGCGTATTACCCTTCGCCGCGATGGTGTTGAACGCAAGACCAAACACATCATCCTCACATTTGAGTCAACTACACTTCCTGAAGCTGTAAAGGCAGGATATCTCCAGTGCCGCGTCCGCCCCTATGTGCCAAACCCTCAGCGGTGTTTTAAATGCCAGCGGTTTGGCCATGGGTCACGGAACTGTCGAGGAAGTGACAGTTGTGCCAAGTGTTCTAGCAAGGAGTACGTCGCTGATGTATGCGAGTGTATGCGAGAATGGGGGGGGGGGGGGGGGGGGGAGGAGCCCCACTGTGCTATTTGTAGCGGTAAGCACCCAGCGTACTCCCGATCCTGCCCATTATGGAAACAGGAAAAATAAATCCTCACCTTGAAGGTTAACGAAAATATTTCATACGCTGATGCAAAGAAGCGCTTTGCCTTTGTATCCAAAGGCTCTTATGCCGAGGCCGTACGCAGGGGACCGGTACGGCCAATGGTTTCGACGGGAACGCAGACGTCTACGGACAGTCTGCGCCTCCCGTCGAGGTCTCCTTTGTCCTCGGGAGCGGTGCCAGTGACACCGCTTTCGAACCGTAATGTGGATGCTGCCTCTTCTTCATCCACCTCAGGGCAGGGGCTGAACCCCCCCCCCCCCCCCCCCCCCTGCTCCACCTGGCCCTTTGGCCCTAAGGGCCGAGGCCTACCCCCTCGCACCTCTGCTCCCCAGAGGAAGCCCGGGGAGCCGCCGAAGCAGTCGACCTCCAAGGGTCAACTGCCGGCGGCAACAGACGAGCCCATGGACGAAAGTGGGCCCAGGTCCGAGGAGGATGCTCCCCACTCAGGATCAGAGTCCTCCCTTTCTGTCGCCAGTGAGCCCACTTGGAGGCAGAAATACCCTCCTAAAAAACAGAACACGCCACATGTTAAGATAGATTTTAAACCTTAAAATCGCCTTTTAAATCTCTTTTTGTTTATTGGCCTCGAGATCGACCTAGAGGTGGCGCTACGGTCGCGCTATCATCATCATCAAAGCGGGGACAGGAGAACGGCCGCCCCATAGGCTCTCCACGGTCGCGCGCGAGACGGCGTAGATTCTTGCGTTTATTTTGTCGCATACTATCGGTGGGAGAACAATTCTAGCGGAAAGGGATGCGTTACTGTTCGGTGCTTCAGTGAAGATCGAATCGTGTTGCCAGCGTGCGGCCCAAATTTATGTAATCGCTTCTGTGGGTGCTTCGTCTGCTCTAGGCAGACGTTATTGGAAAGCATGGATCACCACGACTGATGCCTGTCTCCGGCTGAACTGGAATATTTATGTTAAATATTTGTTTCTTTTAAAATGGATGTATGATCGGTTCATCAACGTGGGAATTAAAAAAAATTAATAGACGCTTTGCAGGAGCTGTGCATGGACGCCGCCATAACTGACCTTCAGTTTTTTGTTTCCTCTTGTTTCGTTTATTTCACTTTATCATTACCATGGCAGGTCAGGTTATTGCCATATTAGACTCAACTATGTCCTTTTCTAAAACATTGGTCTTTGTAGAGGATCGTCAACTATCGTTTCAGTTGCTCGGCACCTCGGTAAGACAAGAGAAGGTCAGCAATGGCCGCTCTAATTTGGCGCGTGTGTAAAGCGTCTATAAATTCCAGCCCACACTCTAAGAAAAAGGGGTGTATAAGGGTACTCCCCTGAGGGGAGTTAGACCGTGTCCCATATGTGACTCCCCTGGGGTGTATATAGAATCCCCCCAGGCTGGGGAGTTCAAGTGCTCCCCAAATATAGGGGATCACTTAGCACCCTCCTCAAAGTCCACGGGCTTCAACAGACACCCCTTGTTTCGGGTGCTGTTTGGCGCCCTTTGTTCCATTTAGGTACTTATGTTACACCCCTAATTGGAGGGATTATTTGAAACCACTTACAATTCTCAGGGAGTTAACAGATCCCTTCTAAATATGGTGCTTTTTAATGCCATTTGTTACACCCTGGTACTTATGTGACACCCGTAACTTCAGGTATTATTTAGCACCGCTTACAACTCCCAGGGAATCACCTGGTCCCTCGTAAATTGGGTGGTTTTTGCCGGCCTTTTTTACACTTAGGGACTCTCGTGATCGCCATAATTGCGAGTGCTGTCGGACACCATGCACAACCCGCGAGGGTTCCCGCGACTCCCCAATTTCGGTGTCGCTTTTGTACACTATGGGACTGGCGGAGCTCCAAGTCGTGCAATGGCCCTTTTTCACACCTTGGGACTCTTACTGGCTTGTTCAGGGGTGCTGGAGAGGCGATTCCTAAAGTCACCTTTCATACGAGAAAGTTCTGAATTATCTGCGCGAAAAGTTCCTGAAACAGGCACTTCGAGGAGATTTCAGATAGAGGAGATTAATACTCACTGACAATGTGCCGGCATCCAAATTTAACAAGAAACTTCTAGACGCGAACAATCCAGACATATAAAAAGAAGTCATGCCAGTCATGTCAGACAAAATGTCATGTCAACCAGGTTTTATTGTGTAAAGGAATACTTAAAAAAAGTCAAAAACATACATAAACAGTAAGTATTAAATGCTTCTCTCTAAAAAAAAATCCCGTGTGTCTACTTTCCCGCAACACAATCGAAGAGCCCATCACCGCAACTTGCGGAGGCAACTCAGCGAATGACGATGCCGAAACACATGTTGAGACTAAAAAAGGCAATCTGATTTGTGACATTAAGCAATGCAAGCGAGACGTTTTGCATTGCTTAATGTCACAACTCAGACTGCGTTTTTTGGTCTAAACATATGTTTTGGCATTGTCATTCGCTGGGCTGCCTCCTTAAGTTGTGGTGACTGGCCCTCCGAGGTGTTGTGCGGGAATGCACACGGACCGGTTTTTTTTTTTTTAGAGCGTTAGAGCCTTCCAAGGAGCTTCACACCAACCATTCCCAGCGGCGTTTCTTTGACGCCAATAGCACGCTCAAAGAGAGCTAAGGTCGACTTGATCCCCGTGGCGTACTGGATGTCAAACGCCCAGTACATGGCGATCATGAGGCTGACTCCGTGAATCACGTCGCCGACGTCCACCCAGAGCTCTTCCGCCTCGACTCGGACAGCAGCAGAGGTGAAGGCGTCCTCTCCCGAGAACAGAACCGTGGGATAGGAGTACCTTTCTCCTGGAACCTATAATGAAATAAAATAACACATTTGAAGAAAAGTAAGTAAATATTAACAATGATAATATGTTCTAATATTTTTATTTAGATAAAATGATCAAGGCTCGCCGGCTTACGTATGCTGTGTGAGTGCAAAACTTCTCTTTTAATGCTATGTAAGTAATTCTGATAAAATTGTTTGCTGCTATTATCTTCGCATACACTTTTGAGGCCTTTCTCCATATGGTCACAGATCACAAGATAAAGTTAACAGGTAGTGTTTAAATTATTTTAACATGAAAGTGACCTTCATGACCCTAGTAGAAGCGGGCAAATATTTAGGTTATGCATATAATTCGACTATAACTTTAATTTGTTTTGACAAAATTACTGCAATGCTAATTAAAAAATGCCGCACACGATTTGGTCATGTACAAAATTGGAAAATTGAAGCAGTTTAACTTTGTGGTTCGTCAGGGCTAATGGTGAACCTTACTATAACAATGCATTCGTGTTTATTTCCCCGCCGGACACGCGCAGGAAAAGGACATTTTTTTCTGCGCAGATCGCGTTTTCGATTTAAGCAGTGTTATAGGCTGCGTCATTTGCTTCGAGCGATCCGTAGATCACAGTGATTGACCCACCGCGTATTCCCTGAGGTCCTATACATGCGTCTCGCTGTAATTTTGTGATGGGTAGGTTTCTTTGATCGGTTGATATAACTGCTTTTTAAGATCGTGCTAGAGAAAAAAAAATGTTATAAACACTAACAACAATAAACTGCAATGAGTTAAATTCCTTATGTTACAATCTCTGTTAATTCCATCTTGTCGTTTATTTATTATTTAAATACCGATAAATATTTAAAAGGCCACTGAGTTTTTGGAGCGCATTCTGCGGCATTCTGTAAGGAAGTGTTGAGAGAACAGGTAGGTTTGCATAGAAGTATATATGTGCTACCCGACACAAAGCGACAGCGTGTGTAAAAGCACCACATCTTGCACCACGTGGACTGAAAGTTCGTGCTGCAGAAGCCCCACTCCTTTCCATTTCGATGTGGTCGTGCATTGTACCGGCGTGCGCTCGTGTAATCACTAATGAGGGATAACGTTAAAGATTCCAGGCTACGGGTTGTACTATAGTCGCTAAGTTTATTATCCACAGCGGAGACTCAAGACGTTTATCGGGGCTGACTGACTTCCCCTTGTATAAACAAACGCACATTTAAGCAACTCGCGAGTTTTTGAATTGCGAAGAAAATGAGCTAGCAATCTTTTAAAGACGTGTTTTGCTTTATTAATTTGCTTCTGGACATCCCTGCCAGAGGTGTAATATCATGGTTCATCTTTCTGACCACGCGTCGTTTTATCGTACGTTTATTGTGACGTACACCAACTTTTGTTGGTGTACGTCACAATAAATGATAACGAGAATTTAAAACGCTATTTCCTACGAGATGGTTTTGTTTGTTTTTTTATCTGAAAGTTAGTCCAGCAATCATCTGTTTTGAATAGAAGTTGACAGGTACTTTCTCGAAAATATTTCGATTTTTTTAAAGCTGTAAAATAAAACTTGAAATGAATAGAAGTAATACTTACTAGCTTCTTCAGAAAGGAGTCGCTCTGCTCCCGAACAAGCCGCGGGAAAAGAGAGAGCGCTGCAACGGCTAGAAAGTCTGAAAGCAAAATTGGGTACATGACATTCAATTTAGTGATGCTCTGCCATTCCAAAGTGGTAAAATGGTATCCTTAGAGTCGGGACTAAGCCTGAAGGACTTGAAATCCGACGTTGTACTTCTTAAGAATGTTTTTAGGGTCGTCGACAAGGTGAGGACGGCAAGGTGTCCTTTTCAAATGGTCAGCCTCCAGCGCGCTCTCGCTGAATTCTGCCGTGCATTGGCTGCGCGTAAACTCTTAAATAAAAAAAATAAATAAAAAAACAGCGGGAAATACAATTAAAAGTGTTCATTCTTAATACAGTGAAGGTCGCTTGAATATAATAAGGTGGGTGACAATAGGGATAAACATACGTAAAAGAGATTTTAAATGTAAACTGAAGAGCTTCTGTATTTGAGGAAAAGTCACTAAAATCGTCTTCATTTGGCCTAAGAAATCATGAATATCGAAATTGTATTTCAATTTAGTAGATGAAAGCTAAAAAAAATCATGTTCAAAATGCCGCTGAGGTCCCACCTTTTCGGTGCGTGCACCGTCATATCAGGAGTTTTCGGAATGTCCGCCCTCGCGCATCTTCAGCGACTATCAAAGCTATGCAGTCCACTTTTGCTGTTTTCAAAACGGTTAGACAAAGACGGCACGACGAATGCGAGTGTGGGGGAATATACTTGCAAGACTGCAATTGCACGCGCTTCACACTTAAGCGACACGCGCTTGAAGGCCGAAATATCCTTGTATGACGTAACGACTGGTCGGAGGATTTTCGTGTTGTCTGTCATTCAGGCACATCTTCAAAGAAACTAAATGTGATATTCAGACCCACGAGATAGAAAAAACGACATAAATCACTTCTAACTAGAGTTTTTTTTTTTTTTTACAATCATTTCAACTTTTTTTAGCAATATAGCCTTGGACACGCCCCTTCTAAAATTACTATAAATACACCAACGGGGGGAGTTTGGCAATTTGGACGACCGTTTAGTTCAGGGGAACTTCTCCAACTCTTTCCCTTAACTAGCAGAGCGAACATTGGAGAGGAGGTTGCCTCCTCTCCAGCGCTCGCTTTGCTAACGTGAAAAGAGGTGGGAGGAGCAGGGTTGGGCAGTATCGCGATACAAATGTATCGCGATAGTATTTCAGGAATACATTTCGTATCTGTATTTCTGTATCGCAATACATTTTTTTCGCCAGTATCTGTATTTCTGTATCGAAATACATTTTGAATGTTCCTTTGTATCGCGATACAATCAGGGTGAAATGTATTTCGTTACATTTTTTGAGAAATACTCAACCCCCCCCCCTCCCCCCCAAAAAAAATAAAATAAAAAAACCCGAACGCCTTTTTTCTTATTTTTTGAGGGCACCAGGGCCAACGAGATGCTGGGGCATTGTTACCATGCTGACCAAGGTTCCTTCCGATTTTCTAAACTATTTTTCTATGCGTCCTCTTCTCTCTTCTGAGAACTGTTGCGCAGTCAGGGACTCGAACTAGGTGGCGTGCCAGGAGTAGAGTCCGAGCATCTTGTGCCACAGGTCATTAGGTAGGGTTTTTTTAGTCATTGTTTGCGGGCATCCAAAGCCCGCTGCTTACCGTCTCTTTTGCCTTAACGTACTCAGTACACCCATGCGGCAAAGTTGATTAACAGTTCGTTGCAGCACGAGCCTGGTGGTGGCTGACTTAAAATTGTAGGATATCTCGCGCAGTGAAGTTCAACAGATATTTGAATGCGTCCGCGGCTGCGCCCGTAATATTGCACGGCTCAAGGGTACGTCATCAGCCGACGTTAAAGTGGCCCGCTGCTGTGGTGATCCGAAACCCAGAAAGGAGGTCAGACGTGGCCTCGCTGTGCCGACCCATACTTTGTACACCTGCGACTCGTCTCGAGCACGCTGTTTCTCGGAGAGCTCGCACCTCTGCCGGCAATATCAGGTCGCAATCCACGACGTCTTATTTGGAGTATGCATGGCCGACCATGCGTCGGTGGCGCAGGGTCAGCAGGAAGCACCTTCACAACAGGGATGCCACCGTATCGTTTTTTCAACCGTAACAGAAGATAAGACATGTGTTCCAGTATGCTTCAGGTGGTCCACTATTCTCGAAAATCCTGCACAACCTTCAACGAGGTAAACTACAACGAAATTACATATTGTACTTTCATACAGCAGCGCGTTAAATTTCATCTTCAAGACCATACCTACAGATAAAGAATACCAGTTCATTCCACCGTGACGTCATGTGATAAATGTTGACAGGGGCGTCCTTATTTGACAAGGGCGTGGTGGCGTTTTGATGGGATTTAGGATGAAAGAGAATTTATTTAGAGGTCGAAGCCTTTTCGCATCCCTCGTCAGACAGACAGGATGTCAGGGAAGGGACCACGGTCAGTCCTTAATGGAACGTTTTTCTGAGCCCATTGAAGACTCCTCGCCGTCCGAAATCACTACCTTCAAGGCAAAGTGCCAAGCCTACGGGAAAGTAATTTCAGGATCAAAAATTTCCACTTCCAACTCCAAGCTTCATTTAATTTCGTCTCAAATAAATTGGAAAAATGTATTGCAGTATCAGTATTTCTGTATTTGTATTTCTGCCTTCCCTAAAATGTATTCCTGTATTTGTATTTCCAAATACTTTTTGCCTATATTTAAAATGTATTTCCGATACGTATCGCGATACACATTTACAGATATATTTCAGTATCAGTATTTTAGGTACTATTTTAAAGTATCCCAGTATTTGTATTTCCAAATACATTTTCGAGTATTTCTGCCCAACCCTGGGGAGGAGTTTCTCCTGAACTCTTAACCTGTCACTGACTATCGTTCAAACTGAATAAAACTTTGTTGGTAACAGGACGCTAACAATTTAGTCAGTGTTATACTTTTTGCACGGGCTCAAAAACTGTATCTAAATTGACAGTGATTGAAGAATGGAAACTTCATACTATACTCCGTTTCATTTTATGTCCGGCCGCAGCGGACGCTACGGCCGGACAGCCAATCCGGCTCTGTGAACCTAGCCCATGACACGGTCTCCGCACATCTTTCTCTGCGCCTCCTCTCCGTAATCGCGTGGCACTCACACGGCTTTGGTTGGGATTCGATGGCTCGTAGCATCCCTTCCGGTCGGACATAAGATAAAGCGGAGTATAGAGATACATTGCCAGTACTAAACTATTTTAAAAATTGTTCTTCCCCAACACAATGTAACATTGGAATTGCTTGCCGACATTACTTGTTGAAATCATAACTGTGGATACATTTCAGCTTCTTGTTTTATCATAACTGATGTAACCCCTCCTGCCTGGGCAGCGCGGCTGCCTGCAGTATCTTAAATAAATTACGAATATCCTACAAGCATTATTAAGTTAATTAGTTGTCAAAAGTTTCTAAAAGAAAAAGAAATTCCGGATGGTGTGGCTTACGGTCTTTCTCCTCTGCGGTTTCCCGCTCCGCAAGTTTCATCAACCGCGTGGAGTCTTTCCGTGTGCTCATCCTCTCCATGAGCAGCTTGAGGATCTTCTCTGACTTCTGATGTAAAAATGCCGTGAGGCCTTCGTAGGCTCTCTTGTCACTCCGCCGCTCGAATTCGTTGAGGATCTGTGGAAGCAAAAATGTCTGTATAAAATTAATATTGTTCTTATAAATCATGATTATAGCTTCGAAGAAGCGCAAAAGGTTGAATATAGCACAAGTTGAGCATATAAAAAATACCACCTCTAGTAGATATCAATACCAACCTCTTCGTATTTCCTCAATGCCGGGAAGCGTTCAACTATTGCAGACACTTCTTTTCCACCTGTCATCCAACATCTTCTCGCTTCAAATGTCCTGTCCATTGCATCTCGAACTTTTCCATTGTCCCAGAGAGTTTTCCTGGTTTCCGTTACCATGAAAGCAATGTGGCCATTCACGGATATTTCATCTTCGCGCACCCCAAAGTATGACTTTTTTACCTGAAAAATAAGTGTGCATTACTTTCAATACAAAATGCAGTGACGTATAGGTGGCTTTAGCAAATCTGACGTTGTAAAGCGAGCCGAAAAAATCGGCGCCTGCACGTAGAAAGCTCTAACAGCGAATGTGCATTAGCTGGAGGCACCAATTACGGAAAGTGTGTGTTCCAAAGGAAACATGTTTATCCGGAGAGCAAGTCGTCTGCTTCTTGCGTAGGAGTTGCGGTGACTTCAGAAAGACGTGGAGCTCTGGATTGGCTCTGACTGAAAAATAGGGGGTACACCTCAAAGCAAGCTGCCTTGATGTCTACCCACTATCCTTCAATCAGTGCCAATAAAAGCTCGGCGTTCTGACGACACCACAACCCCTGCAAAAGAAGCAGACAAACTTGAGCTCCGTATAGCTTATGACGGACGTCCCCAACGCGACGAGAATTAATTTTGGTCACATGAAACTTTTCTCATTCATACAGAGACATTCGGTATACGCTGCTCATTGCAACGTTCCTATGGCCATGGTAGGTTTTGAAATGTGAATTTTTATGAAAGCAGTGTAGCTCTATAATTGCACTTATACTCACAGGTCTACCGGCGGTGGGTGGGGCTGCTCGCAGTGGCTGGCTGGTGCTTTGTGTTTCTGATTCGCTCCTTTCAAGCGCCTTGCTCTCTTTCTGTTGACGGGCCTGTTCCCTCGCCCTGTCGACCTCAGGGTCCCCACTCATCATCTTTCTTCTAATGTTCTTCCCCCGGTAGCGGAGACTCGCCCGCCAGGTATTCTGCACAGTAATGTTTTCGCTGTTACAACGCAACGTTATTCGTTCTTAACCACGAAATAAAAATTAGTCTCATTCACAAGAGCAATAACTTTTTTTTTAATTCCCTCCCACTCATTTATAACGACCATCGCAAAGCATAACCACTCCTTAGGTGTATGTAAATTAATCTGTACACTAGTCAAGCGTGGCTGATTATTTTGCAAGCCACTACCATTACGTGAGTATTTCTATTGATAAGGTCGGGTAGAGTGCTCGGGCTCAGGTTAAGTCAAGAGTTGAACTCACGTAGCCAGTCACAGACGCATCTTTCAGTCCCTTGTATCTTTGGACAAGCGCTCGAGCCGCTTCTGTGTAAAGATTATTTGGGTACCTGCAACAAATTGATAAGTTGTTAAACTTAAAGAATGTCAAGATTTTAAAGAAGCAAATGACACTATAGCTGTGGCTCTGCATTTTAGTGCACATCTAGAGAGTATCTGTGGATAATATGGTTGCTGGTCGGGACTTATCTAAGAAACCTCTATTGGCAGAACAATTACCGAATAAAACTTGCATTGTGCTTTTAACAAAATTACTAACCACATCTACTAGATGAGGATTCTACCAAACAGATCAAACTTCCAACAGAAGCAACGGTTTTGGTATGTATAACATTCGTCTTTTCAAAGCGTCCCAAATGTTATTGCGGGTAAAATAGCATTAAAATAATAAGACTACAAAAAAATTTTAAAAATAAAACTTCAATCTAAATTTAGTAGGACAGCGGAAAATGGTAAAAATAAACTCTAAAAAGGGCCAATTTATTTTACGCTAATTATTTAATAAATTTTAAAACCTACTTAAAATAAAAAAAGGAAACAGAGCAAAAGACAAAACAATAAAAACGTGAGCATGCTAGAACATTTGACTGATTTCATTCAATGCTTTCAATGCTCACATCAAGTGCTGATCCGCTTAACTAAACATAAGTAGGGACTTGAGCAAAACGTTAGCTTGTTCCGCTTACCGCACTACCGGACCCTTTGAAGCATGATTTTTTAAGCGCAAGGCCCGGCGATACTGCTGTGACCGCGGGGCGCCCGCTTAAAAGCATACTTCAAAGGCTTCGGTGGTGGGGTACTTGAAACACGTCTTCGGTGTGCTGAAGTCCACAAATTTCGAAGTTGCAATTAATTTGACCTATGAGCGTTTCCACATACAATTACAATTTTTTTTATTCTTGTTACAGATATCGCTCACATACCGGTTAGTAGATATGTTCACCGTCTTCTGAAGTCGAATGCACTTTCGCAACCGCTTTGGCAGCTTTCTTTATGTCCTTCCTGAGCCAATAGATTTTGTTGTGCGTCACATTTACACCTGGGCAACTATTGCCGCGGTGAAAGCGAATTATTGGAGAGAGCACGGCCCCTGACGGGAGACGTTCGGCGCCGTTTTATTCGTTCACCGTGACCACGATGTCGGCTATTGCCTCGGTGAAAGCGAATTATTGGAGAGAGCACGGCCCCTGACGGGAGACGTTCGGCGCTGTTTTATTCGTTCACCGTGACCACGATGTCGGCTATTGCCTCGGTGAAAGCGAATTATTGGAGAGAGCACGGCCCCTGACGGGAGACGTTCGGCGCCGTTTTATTCGTTCACCGTGACCACGATGTCGGCTATTGCCTCGGTGAAAGCGAATTATTGGAGAGAGCACGGCCCCTGACGGGAGACGTTCGGCGCTGTTTTATTCGTTCACCGTGACCACGATGTCGGCTATTGCCTCGGTGAAAGCGAATTATTGGAGAGAGCACGGCCCCTGACGGGAGACGTTCGGCGCTGCTTTATTCGTTCACCGTGACCACGATGTCGGCTATTGCCTCGGTGAAAGCGAATTATTGGAGAGAGCACGGCCCCTGACGGGAGACGTTCGGCGCCGTTTTATTCGTTCACCGTGACCACGATGTCGGCTATTGCCTCGGTGAAAGCGAATTATTGGAGAGAGCACGGCCCCTGACGGGAGACGTTCGGCGCTGTTTTATTCGTTCACCGTGACCACGATGTCGGCTATTGCCTCGGTGAAAGCGAATTATTGGAGAGAGCACAGCCCCTGACGGGAGACGTTCGGCGCTGTTTTATTCGTTCACCGTGACCACGATGTCGGCTATTGCCTCGGTGAAAGCGAATTATTGGAGAGAGCACGGCCCCTGACGGGAGACGTTCGGCGCCGTTTTATTCGTTCACCGTGACCACGATGTCGGCTATTGCCTCGGTGAAAGCGAATTATTGGAGAGAGCACGGCCCGTGACGGGAGACGTTCGGCGCCGTTTTATTCGTTCACCGTGACCACGATGTCGGCTATTGCCTCGGTGAAAGCGAATTATTGGAGAGAGCACGGCCCCTGACGGGAGACGTTCGGCGCCGTTTTATTCGTTCACCGTGACCACGATGTCGGCTATTGCCTCGGTGAAAGCGAATTATTGGAGAGAGCACGGCCCCTGACGGGAGACGTTCGGCGCCGTTTTATTCGTTCACCGTGACCACGATGTCGGCTATTGCCTCGGTGAAAGCGAATTATCGGAGAGAGCACGGCCCCTGACGGGAGACGTTCGGCGCCGTTTTATTCGTTCACCGTGACCACGATGTCGGCTATTGCCTCGGTGAAAGCAAAGTATTGGAGAGAGCACGGCCCCTGACGGGAGACGTTCGGCGCCGTTTTATTCGTTCACCGTGACCACGATGTCGGCTATTGCCTCGGTGAAAGCGAATTATTGGAGAGAGCACGGCCCCTGACGGGAGACGTTCGGCGCCGTTTTATTCGTTCACCGTGACCACGATGTCGGCTATTGCCTCGGTGAAAGCGAATTATTGGAGAGAGCACGGCCCCTGACGGGAGACGTTCGGCGCCGTTTTATTCGTTCACCGTGACCACGATGTCGGCTATTGCCGCGGTGAAAGCGAATTATTGGAGAGAGCACGGCCCCTGACGGGAGACGTTCGGCGCCGTTTTATTCGTTCACCGTGACGACGATGTCGGCTATTGCCGCGGTGAAAGCGAATTATTGGAGAGAGCACGGCCCCTGACGGGAGACGTTCGGCGCCGTTTTATTCGTTCACCGTGACCACGATGTCGGCTATTGCCGCGGTGAAAGCGAATTATTGGAGAGAGCACGGCCCCTGACGGGAGACGTTCGGCGCCGTTTTATTCGTTCACCGTGACCACGATGTCGGCTATTGCCGCGGTGAAAGCGAATTATTGGAGAGAGCACGGCCCCTGACGGGAGACGTTCGGCGCTGTTTTATTCGTTCACCGTGACCACGATGTCGGCTATTGCCTCGGTGAAAGCGAATTATTGGAGAGAGCACGGCCCCTGACGGGAGACGTTCGGGGCCGTTTTATTCGTTCACCGTGATCACGATGTCGGCTATTGCCGCGGTGAAAGCGAATTATTGGAGAGAGCACGGCCCCTGACGGGAGACGTTCGGAGCTGTTTTATTCGTTCACCGTGACCACGATGTCGGCTATTGCCGCGGTGAAAGCGAATTATTGGAGAGAGCACGGCCCCTGACGGGAGACGTTCGGCGCCGTTTCATTCGTTCACCGTGACCACGATGTCGGCTATTGCCGCGGTGAAAGCGAATTATTGGAGAGAGCACGGCCCCTGACGGGAGACGTTCGGCGCTGTTTTATTCGTTCACCGTGACCACGATGTCGGCTATTGCCGCGGTGAAAGCGAATTATTGGAGAGAGCACGGCCCCTGACGGGAGACGTTCGGCGCCGTTTTATTCGTTCACCGTGACCACGATGTCGGCTATTGCCGCGGTGAAAGCGAATTATTGGAGAGAGCACGGCCCCTGACGGGAGACGTTCGGCGCTGTTTTATTCGTTCACCGTGACCACGATGTCGGCTATTGCCTCGGTGAAAGCGAATTATTGGAGAGAGCACGGCCCCTGACGGGAGACGTTCGGCGCCGTTTTATTCGTTCACCGTGACCACGATGTCGGCTATTGCCTCGGTGAAAGCGAATTATTGGAGAGAGCACGGCCCCTGACGGGAGACGTTCGGCGCTGTTTTATTCGTTCACCGTGACCACGATGTCGGCTATTGCCTCGGTGAAAGCGAATTATTGGAGAGAGCACGGCCCCTGACGGGAGACGTTCGGCGCCGTTTTATTCGTTCACCGTGACCACGATGTCGGCTATTGCCTCGGTGAAAGCGAATTATTGGAGAGAGCACGGCCCCTGACGGGAGACGTTCGGCGCCGTTTTATTCGTTCACCGTGACCACGATGTCGGCTATTGCCGCGGTGAAAGCGAATTATTGCAGAGAGCACGGCCCCTGTCGGGAGACGTTCGGCGCCGTTTTATTCGTTCACCGTGACCACAATGTCGGCTATTGCCGCGGTGAAAGCGAATTATTGGAGAGAGCACGGCCCCTGACGGGAGACGTTCGGCGCCGTTTTATTCGTTCACCGTGACCACGATGTCGGCTATTGCCTCGGTGAAAGCGAATTATTGGAGAGAGCACGGCCCCTGACGGGAGACGTTCGGCGCCGTTTTATTCGTTCACCGTGACCACGATGTCGGCTATTGCCTCGGTGAAAGCGAATTATTGGAGAGAGAACGGCCCCTGACGGGAGACGTTCGGCGCTGTTTTATTCGTTCACCGTGACCACGATGTCGGCTATTGCCGCGGTGAAAGCGAATTATTGGAGAGAGCACGGCCCCTGACGGGAGACGTTCGGCGCCGTTTTAATCGTTCACCGTGACCACGATGTCGGCTATTGCCTCGGTGAAAGCGAATTATTGGAGAGAGCACGGCCCCTGACGGGAGACGTTCGGCGCCGTTTTATTCGTTCACCGTGACCACGATGTCGGCTATTGCCTCGGTGAAAGCGAATTATTGGAGAGAGCACGGCCCCTGACGGGAGACGTTCGGCGCCGTTTTATTCGTTCACCGTGACCACGATGTCGGCTATTGCCGCGGTGAAAGCGAATTATTGGAGAGAGCACGGCCCCTGACGGGAGACGTTCGGCGCCGTTTTATTCGTTCACCGTGACCACGATGTCGGCTATTGCCTCGGTGAAAGCGAATTATTGGAGAGAGCACGGCCCCTGACGGGAGACGTTCGGCGCCGTTTTATTCGTTCACCGTGACCACGATGTCGGCTATTGCCTCGGTGAAAGCGAATTATTGGAGAGAGCACGGCCCCTGACGGGAGACGTTCGGCGCCGTTTTATTCGTTCACCGTGACCACGATGTCGGCTATTGCCGCGGTGAAAGCGAATTATTGGAGAGAGCACGGCCCCTGACGGGAGACGTTCGGCGCCGTTTTATTCGTTCACCGTGACCACAATGTCGGCTATTGCCGCGGTGAAAGCGAATTATTGGAGAGAGCACGGCCCCTGACGGGAGACGTTCGGCGCCGTTTTATTCGTTCACCGTGACCACGATGTCGGCTATTGCCTCGGTGAAAGCGAATTATTGGAGAGAGCACGGCCCCTGACGGGAGACGTTCGGCGCCGTTTTATTCGTTCACCGTGACCACGATGTCGGCTATTGCCTCGGTGAAAGCGAATTATTGGAGAGAGCACGGCCCCTG